TACTAAACGCATCAACAAAAAAACAAGTTAAGCTATTTAAAAGACCACAGAAAATGTAATTGTGTCCATGAAAGTCACACCCAACACATCCGAATGCCACCAGTTTGTGGCCGTATCCACAATCGTTACATCACCCAACCGATCGGGATCACCTCCGTGTGTATTCAGAGACGCCTACAGACCCTGAGGTAGTCCCGGTGGATCGAATTTCCCATTGGGATCGTTGGAATAATTCATCAGGAATGGGATACCACGTTCTATGGCAGTCCCGATGAATATAGGAACTTTTTCACTTTACATGTCCTTTCCAACCTAACAAAACAGAGGAGAATGACAAGACTAATCCTGGGCATTAGGAACCTTGAGTACAGAGACAGAATAAAGAATCTTAATTTGCACTCCCTCGAGAGACGTAGAGTGAGGGGCGATATGATAGAGGTGTATAAATGGAAGTCAGGACTGAACAAAGGGGACATTACAAAGGTACTCAAACTATCCAACCAGGAGCGAACTCGTAACAATGGTTTTAAATTAGACAAATTTAGATTTAGAAATAGAGTAGTGGACGAGTGGAACAAGTTACCAAATATCATCATTAACTCGACTTTAGCAGAAACATTTGACAGAGCACCGCATCAGAGGCTTCTGAGAAAAATTAAGGCTCATGGTATCAAGGGGAAAGTTTTAAATTGGATAAAATCATGGCTCACCGATAGAACACAGAGGGTCAGCGTAGATGGTGTTAAATCTGAGTGGGGCCGTGTAACCAGTGGGGTTCCCCAGGGCTGTACTAGGCCCACTCTTGTTCATAATCTACATAAACGATCTAGATACTGGGATCAGCAGACATAAGCAAGTTTGCAGATGACACCAAAATAGGGGGCAGATTAATTCAGGCAGGATGCAAATGCATTACAGGAGGATCTAAATAAACTGCAGTGGTCTGAAAATGGCAAATGAAATTCAACACCAGCAAGTGCAGCGTACTTAATATTGAAGAAACAAATACTGACAATGTATACAGCCTTAACAACATCAACCTAGAGAAGTCGACTTGTGAAAGAGACCCAGGGTACTTAGAAGCCCGGACCTACGGCCTAGAAAACAGTGCGTTAATGTTCGAAATAAGGCAAACAGAGTATCGGGTTTTATATCTAGAAGTGTAAGTTATAAGAGTGCAGAGGTCTTATTGCAACTATATCTTGCGCTAGTCAGGCCGCACCTCGATTATGCGGTTCAGTTCTGGTGCCCTTATTATAGAATGGATATCAATGACGAAAATGATTCCGGGACTTAGAAACCTTCCATATCAGGATAGGTTAAAGAAACTTAACTTGCATTCCCTAGAAAGATAAGAAAGTGGAGATATGATAGGAGTATTTAAGTGGGTGAAAGGAATCAATAAAGGGATATAGATAAAGTTCTTATAATATCCGAGCAGGATAGGACTCGGAGCAACGGATTTAAGTTGATAAGTTTAGGTTTAGGAGGAGATAGGAAGAAACTGGTTCACAAATAGGGTGGTGGACGAGTGGAACAAGCTTAGCAACTTTGTAGTAAGTGCTGGAACTCTGGAAAGTTTCAAAAGGAGGCTAGATAGATTCATTGATGATAGAGAGTGGTAGTAGCTCTCGACAGGAGCTGCCATGCACAGGCCAACCGGCCTATTGCAGACTCCTTATGTTCTTATGTAATACGCTGGACAGCTTCAAACATAGGTTGGATGGATATATGAGCAATAGGGGTTGGGTGTAAATGGGACTACCCAGTATGGGTCAATAGGCCCGCTGCAGTTTCCTCCATTCTTATGTTTTATGTTTTTATAACCTTACGTAGAAGACAAGAAAAGAACATAATAAAGCTTGGTAATTGTGAAATGTGGGAATAATGAATGATGGTCGGCAATAGAAAAGTAAATGATAATAGCCAATTGTTTTTTTATGAGTATTTTTTGTCACTTGTTGAAATGGTAATGGTAGTCTATATTCTTGAGGAAATGTATATAAAGGTGATTAAAAACTTGGGTTGCAGCGTAATTAACATTTAAATGAAGTAAATGTTTATTATCTGGTTAGATTAGGTTAGGTTGGTATTGTCTGGTACTCACTTGTCTGGCATTAAGGATATCCATCATGTACCTGTCTCAGTCTCTTGATGGCAGAGATCAGCCACGCCCCTCACCACCACCTGACCAATCAGATCATTACGACTAAACCTGTCGAAGTCATACACACTGAACTGCAGCGTCCTGTCCCGGAGGTCTGGCCAACTCACACTAGGGAGGAGAACACGAGTGTATTAATTAATCACCCAAGTTCCTTCGTTGAGTTAAACCTGTATGTTGACCTAATTCTTAAACAAACCCAAGTTAAAGGTTTTGTTGTAAGAATGATTCAGATTCACGTGTCTAAATACTTCTTTGATCTATCACTGATTCTTTTTCATTTCCAGTCGAGATGAGAGGGGAGGCTTGTGAGGTAAAACGGTAACTGGCAACTGTTTGTTTATGCGTCCTGGGAACCATGACAACAGCGCTTCAACTACCATCCAGGAACTGAAGTTAAATATTTAGTGATGAAAAATTAAGTCGGTGATAATAATGACATCCTGTATCACAGCTTTTAGATCACCTGAAGAATAGCCCCCCCCCAACCCACTCACACCTGTCCTAGTCAAAGCAGCTTATTTATACCTCGACCAAATACAAGTATAGTCGCGCAATCTGGGCTAAATCAGGCGATCTAAATATAGAAAACGGGGCATCATGTCCAATTCAATATGGAAGGAAACATCTTTAGAACTTATTCTTGGGGTCGCCATCATCCATTGCTTAAGGAACATGGTCGTGATGTGTGTTGATTATAATTTTTGTTTGTATAGTGTTTTCTGTGTATTATCTGATTGTTTGTTTGTTTGTGTTTTTATTTTTCATCTCTCTCTCTCTCTCTCTCTCTGTCTATTTCTCTCTTTTCCCGTGTCTCCATTTGTTTCCTCTCCCTTACTTGCTCTTCACTTCTCCCTTTTCTTCCACCTTCACCTGGCCCTTACCTGCCCTTTCTCCTCACCTACCCTCCACCTGGCCCTTCTCCCCCTCACCTGAACTCACCTGAAAACGAACACCTCATTAAACTCTGGGTTGAGGTTCCTTCTGTGGACTTTGGTACAAAACTTCTTCTTGCGATCCGGGAGGAGGTAGACCTTCACGTAGGGGTCAGATGAGCCACTTACGTCCTTCACTGGTAGGTCGTGGGCCTGTAGAACCTGTAGGAGGCCAAGGAGGAGGTGTGGGTGAGTCTAGAGGATCGTGGGTACTTGTTACGTTATGAAGAGGATTGTAATGGGTTATGGGAAAAAAACAATTAGGATGGAAATCAAAGGTTGTAATCCTCTACCTTGACTACCAGACCCTCAATACCAGGGTCGTACTTAAGGGTGAAGGAAAGTTGTCCTACGGCCTCGGTGTCACTTCCCGCACCGCTACTCTCCACGGACGACTGTCGCATCAGCTCGTTACGGTACAGTTCAGGCTATAGAGGCGAGACAGTTATAGGGAGTCGTTATTTGTCGTTACGGTACAGTTCAGGCTAAAGAAGACACAGAAGGAATCGTTATTGGTCGTTATGGTACAATTCAGGCTATAGAGGAGAGACCAGTATAAGGAGTCGTTATTAGTCGTTATTGAATTGGAAGGAAAAAATCAAGCCTTTTATTTGACCTAATAAGAGACATTTCAAGGATCATTACAGGGTTATTAGCTCCGTTCATATGTAAGAACACCACATCCCCAAAAAGTACTGATCTAACTTTGTACAGCTGCGGTCATAATTTCCTGGACAGTTAGCAGGATTATTAGGTGAAAGGGATTGGGATTTTAATGTATATTTCTCATGTGTGTGTGTTATTAGATATTAACCAATTATATTCGTATACTTAACCCAGAAATAGATGCCGGATATTGCTAAGTACGTTAAGTGTGTGTATTTTTAAGTATGTGTATGTTAAGTGTGTGTACGTTAAGTCTGTGTATGTCAAGTGTGTTTACGTTAAGTCTGTGTAGGTCAAGTGTGTGTGTGTATATTAAGCAGATATGCATTACGCAGACACTGGCAATAAGGATAATAGAGCGAGATGCCCCAAGTCGTCCTTCTTCTCAAGGTTACACACAGAAAACTCAATGCTGTCCAAGTGAAGACGCTGGGAGAGTTGCCGCTGGAAGGTAGCGTGGCGTTGTGGCACAGTGGGTAGGGTTGTCTGACGCGGCACCTGTAGATCACGGGTTCGACTCGGGTTCTAATGAAGGCCACAAGTTGTAGTACACGAGAATGGTGATTATTATTTTTTTTGTTGAGAGGAACTAAAAATTAAGTTTTGGATTACCTGATGATTAGCCACCCCAGCTTATTTCACCTGATGATGAGTTACCCCAGCTTATTTCACCTGATGATGAGTTACCCCAGCTTATTTCACCTGATGATGAGTTACCCCTTATTTATTTCACCTGATGATGAGTTACCCCAGCTTATTTCACCTGATGATGAGTTACCCCAGCTTATTTCACCTGATGATGAGTTACCCCAGCTTATTTCACCTGATGATGAGTTACCCCAGCTTATTTCACCTGATGATGAGTTACCCAGCTTATTTCACCTGCTGATGAGTTACCCCAGCTTATTTCACCTCATGATTAGCCACCCCAGCTTATTTCACCTGATGATAAGTTACCCCAGCTTATTTCACCTGATTAGCCTCCCCAGCTTATTTCACCTGATTAACCTCCCCAGCTTATTTCACCTGATGGTTAAACACTTATGACTTATCTGGGAGTAGGGGGGTTAGGTTAGGTTTGGTCAGGTTAGGTTACGTTTAGTTATGTTAGGATAGGTTAACCTAACTTAACTTAATCTAACCTAACCTACCCGGCTACCCCCTTAGGTATTTAATCGACACTTAAAATAAATTGGGGCTAATCCACAGGTGATCCCTCCTCTCTGCTAATCATCACTACAGCTGGGTTACTTTCACACCTGGGGTCACTCACTCTTGGGGTCACTTTTCACACCTGGGGTCACTCACTCTTGGGGGTCACTTTCACACCTGGGGTCACTTTCACTCCTGGGGTCCTCACTCACCTTCTTGGTATCTTGGGGTAGGAGCTGCTCTTGAGAGACTGATCTGGAGAGGTCAGGTAGAGAGTGGGAGATCATAATAGCCGTTTGACCTTCAAAACCTTTTTTGCGACCCCATGACACAAGTCCGGCCTCCACGTCCTGCAGGTCAGATACAGGTACAGGTTAGATACAGGTACAGGTTAGATACAGGTGCAGGTTAGATACAGGTACAGGTTAGATACAGGTACAGGTTAGATACAGGTACAGGTTAGATACAGGTGCAGGTGAGGTACAGGTGCAGGTGAGGTACAGGTGCAGAGCAGATACAGGCAGTGTTAGATACAGGTGCAGGTTAGATACAGGTACAGGTTAGATACAGGTACAGGTTAGATACAGGTGCAGGTTAGATACAGGTACAGGTTAGATACAGGTACAGGATAGATCCAGGTACAGGTTAGATCCAGGTACAGGTTAGATACAGGTACAGGTACAGGTTAGTTACAGGTACAGGTTAGATCCAGGTACAGGTACAGGTTAGATACAGGTATAGGTTAGATCCAGGTATAGGTTAGATACAGGTACAGGTTAGTTACAGGTACAGGTTAGATACAGGTACACTACTACAGGTATAGAGTTAATAATGCCTAAGTTTAATTGTTAATCTGTGTGTTTGTCTGAAGTGTTAAATTAATGTAGTTGTATTATCGTTTATTATACATTATTACTGTATTTGTTTGCTTATTTGTTGTGAATATTATACATGGAAACAATATTAAGGACAAAAATCTCACTGGACAAAACTTCAATTGGACAGTTCCTCTTGGACTAAATCCCATTATGTTGAGTTAGTTGGGTTTTGAATTTTAGTTTGGTGAGAATTTTGTACAATTTAATAAGACTGTCCATTTGTGGTTTTAATTTGGAGAGACAGGGAGATGAAAACACACACACACACGCACACACGCACACACACACACACACACAGCACGCACACACACACACACACACGCACACACACACACACGCACACACACACACACGGACTCACACACCCTTCCTACTCCACATATCAAGAAGGCTCAACACACTGACCCTTTCGACTCTCACTGACCATCACCACGGCCTCATCTGCAAAGGTAAGAAGCTTTACACCATCCCCGACACCGGCCCTACTACCACCTGAGATCCCCTGTCCGAGAATTGCTGTTCGACACCACAACCGCATCCAGCCCATACGTGCACGAACTGATCGCTATAAGAACAGCCTAGTCCCAACCATTGTAAAATTATCAATAACATGTATAAATCGTGTATTCACTCCCAGTAAACACTGCTCCCTACACTGTCTATGTTGAAATGAACTGTAGTTTGAGCTGATCCCATCTAAGTTACTATATGTCTTATTTGTGTCACTTATGTCACTTGTATATTATTTGTAATTCGTAACCCATTCCCAAATATGTAACTGTATATTTTCAGCCTTCTGACCAAGCTCTTCAATAAACCGTTAATTATTATTATTATTACACACAACACAAAATGGACTCACCCTGGAGAAAATGGACCTAGCAGAGTACTTGGCCAACACCAGCACCACTAACACCAGCACAGCCACTATCACCAGGCTGAGCACCATGTAACCTAACTGCAGGCTGGAGACTTCTGCTGAAACAAAACAAAACAAAACAGGTGAATTAGGTAATGGATTTGGTGGGGATTTAAAGGTGAGTTTTAGGATTTTTTTAAAGGGAGGATTTATGGATTTAAAGGGAAGATTTATGAGTTTTTGAAACAATAATAATAATAATCAGATGAGGTCAGTGGTGGAGGAGGTTTTCATGGTGTGTGTGTGTGTGTGTGTGTGTCTTTGTCCATAGATAAATTGTTGATAAAGAGTTTTGCGTAGAAGCGTCGCTATACAGTAATAACACACACACACACACACACACACAAAGGACTCACACACACACACCTGATGGACGTGGCAGAAATTGGTGGTGAATTTACCTGAATTAATTACCGCCACTGAAATACAATACACCTCCTGGGTCTCATAGGTGACCCATATGTCCCTCTTGCGCGGAAACCAATTCCCCCCTCTCGTCCACAGTTTGAGGAGATGTTGTCTCTGTCTATCTGTCTACTCCTTGAAAATGTATGTACCGTGTACTAATAAATGAAGGTATTAATTACAGGTATTTAATGAATCACTCACCTGAAGTTTCTAAAACACAACAATAACACCAGTACTGTACAGTAATTGCATTCACGAATACGTTTATTTCTCGCCAACAATTTATTTTATATATTTAAGGAATTCAGTCGACGAGTTTTATTCTTACTATTGATAAAAATATTTTCGGCATTAGTTTAAGATAGAAAGCAAAAAGTTATTTTTTTTCTTTTCACACGTGAACGCTGGGCGGGAGAAGAGCCGGTGTACACTCGGGATTCTCGCCTTGTGTGTAGCTGTCGTGGTCTTATGGGCAAGTCGGTCCCTGGCTGCTCTTTTTCGCGTAAATAATAGAAAGAAGAGTGTTTCATCCCCCTGAACCTCTTTCTAGGCGGCGAAATCACACGAAGTATGACTTTACTTTATCACGCTTTGTGCCACACGATCCCTTGAGCCGCGAGCCAGCACTCCACTAATGTCTGACGGAATCCTTTAAATAATGTTAACTCACTTCTTTTATTCCCACTAAATCATTCTTTCTCTCGCTGTCTCTCTCTACTGACTAGAACTATCTCACAAACATCTCAATACAAGAGATTAACGGGGAAAAACGAATTCAAGACTTTGGGCTAAATTATATAACGTCCTCTGTCGCGCCGACCAATCGCCCATCCCCTTTAGTGTTGACGTCATCACGGTCCCCACCAATCACCGCCCTTATTTCCCCATGCCCCAACGCCAAACTCCAGACAAAAGGGACTTATCTCCTCCCTCCCTTTACTATTAAGAACCAAATTTTGTGTATCGACTCTTGATTTTCATCCTTTGCGACTGTCTGTTTTCATAGACCCCCGATAACCTGTCGTTCAAAGAAAAGTTTTAAAAATATAAAGAATTTCTAGAGACTGTGGCAGGTTGAAGTCAAGGTGAAGTTGGCTTAAGTGATGCAACAGGTGGGGGAGGAAGAAGGGAAGGAAGGTGAAGGACTGAAGAAGGAAAGAGGGGAGTGAGAGAGGGGGAGAAAGGTGGGAAGGTAGGTAAGGAAGTAAGGTTTCAGTCGTCATTTTCACTTTGTTCTTTGTTTATCTTTAGGCCTTCATCTATCGTCCTTTATCCTGGTGTTAATCTATCACCTTCCCCCCTCTCTCTCTCTCTCTCTCTCTCTCTCTCGCTCTACTTCCTTCTTTCTAACTTCCTATATATATCATTCCTTCCTTCCTTCTCTCTCTCTCTTGCTTTACTTTTTTCCCTATATATATCCTTCCTTCTTTCTCCCTCTCGTCCAACTTTTTTCTCTTTCTCTCTATGTCCTTCCTTCTATCATTCTCCTCCTCTCCTTTCTTCTCCATATTCTCTCTTTTTCCTCGACGCCTAACGTGGGTTTACAAGTATTAGCCGGTCCATTCAGCGGCAAATTACAAATTCTCCATTTAAGGTGAAACACGCCTGAGGTACACCTATTTACACCCAAGGTACTGAGACCCACGCAGGCCCAGACCTCCTTGTTGCCCCTCCTTTGTTTACTTCCACACCGTGCATGCGTACTAGTGGCAAAGACTCTACCGTTTGGGTACATTTATACTACACATGCGCTGTAGTGTTGCGTTGTGTAGTATATTATAAATATATGTATTACACCCGGTGGATTATATATAAAGGTGATATAATCGTGTTATATATTATTATAGAGAGATGACTTTATTGAAGATTAAAACGAAGTCGGTAATCTTGAATTGAAATGAGGTGGGGTTAACCTACACACACACGTCATCAGATCAAGATGGCACAGTTCCTTTACTCTCCACAAAAGTATCTAAATTACCCGCTAGTACGACCTTTTGTCTTCTGGACTGGTGGTTGGTTTTCATTAGCCAATCACAGGCGGAACTAATTGCACCAATCAATTTCCAGGAGTTGGTAACGGTTGTAACGGTCACCCCCACGAGCATCGTTTGAACTCTAGTGCACTGGGAGCGTTATTAATATTATTATTATTAATGTAAAAATATTGTGTGTGCGTGTGTGTGTGTGTGTGTGTGAGCGAGCGAGCGATACTGCCACCTTGGACTTTGTGTATGAATGTGCGTATGTGTGTATCAGAAGGATGTGTGTATCTTATGTGCGTATGTGTGTACCAGAGAAAGTGTGTATCTATGTGCGTATGTGTGTATCAGAAGGATGTGTGTATGTATGTACGTATGTGTGTACCAGAGAAAGTGTGTATCTATGTGCGTATGTGTGTATCAGAAGGATGTGTGTATGTATGTACGTATGTTTGTTCCAGAAGGATGTGTGTATCTATGTAGGTATTTGTGTACCATGTGAAGTGTGTGTGCAGACACTCTCTGGTAGAACTGAGGGAGTGAGGAGTGAGGAGGGGGGGGTGTGAGGTGAGAGAGAGAGGGGGGTGAGGGTGAAAGTGAGAGAGGGGGGTGGGGTGGGGGTGAGGAGAGGGGGGGGGTTGAGGTGAAAGGAGAAAGAGATGGGAGGGAGGAGAGAGGTGGTGGGTGGTGTGTGTGTGTTGTGTGAGAGTGTGTGTGGTGTGTGTGTGTGTGTGTGTGTGAGTGTGTGTGTGTGTGTGTGTGTGGTGGGGAGGTAATGTGTGACGTCACTCTCCCTAGTCCTTACCTCACCTGGGTCCCACAAGTTCTGTATTTACCTGGAGGATACAATTATCTGGGGGTGTGCTGTGGAGAGAGAGAGAGAGAGAGAGAGAGAGAGAGAGAGAGAGAGAGAGAGAGTATTATCAAAATTCTCGTGACCAAAAGAGTGTTGAAAGTTTCCCCCTTAAAATTCCTTATCACGTCCTTTATTCTTTATCTTCACTTCCTGTTTCGTGCAGTGTGGATGAAGAGGAAGCAGAGACACTCAAAAAAGGAGGGGGGGGGATAGTAGGAGACAACGATGAAAGGGAGATGTAGAAAGTGAGAGGAAAATACAAAAAGAAAACAGATAGAAATATTGACGCAGGTTAGGTTAGGTTTGGTTTGTCTTTATTACGTTACGTTAGGTTATCTTAGTCGGATCACTTGTAGATTAGACACCCCAGCTTATTTCACCTGATGATTAAGCAACTAAACCTAACCTAACCCTCCAGGTAATATTGTGGTGCCCAATCATCAGGTGAAATAAGCAGGGGTGCCTGATCTTCAGATGTCCTGGTCGCTTATAACACCATTACACTAGATGTCCTACACGATGTGTAGCAGCATTAAGAGAACGTTGCCAGTGTTTACATTCAGGCACTATACTCACTGAGTGGCTACAAGCTGTCTTTGTTATTGTTTACATCCGAGCACTCTACAACACGCTGGTTGAGTGGCCTTGCAGGAAGACAAGCATGCCATCACCACCTGTTCGTAAACACATACACACAAACACACACTTCTTTAACAGGATTACGGAAGTTATATTATAAAATGAAAAACATATGCAACGTGTTTACAAATCTTCTCCAACTTCCGAGATGTTGATGTGTTTTTGTTTCAACTCTCGAGGGAGTGAACTTATAGCATCTCGACTGTTGGGTATATCTGGGTACAAATTGTCAGATATTAGTTTTTTTTATTCTTATTATAGGAGAGAAAAATAATCTAGCTGATACATTTACCTTACGCCATAAAGAAGGATTGTCAAATGTTCATAACTTAAGTTTTTATGAGAACCTCTTTAATTTCTTGATGTTGATGTAAAAAATAAGTTCTAATGATTGGTAGGGTATTAAATTCCCTCCAAAATATAATAGATATGATATTGTAATCTTCCCCAAAAGTCTTAATTGTTTTATTGAAGCCACAGTGTGAAGTTGGAGTCTTAAGTAGCATATGCCACATAACATATTGGGGATATATCGGATAACAGCTACTGCCAGACGAACGAGCGCTCGTCTTCGCCCAATAGTGCATACATTTATAAAGCACTTCTCACCAAGGTTGCCCCCCCCCCCCACCCCACTCCTCCTGTTGCCCTGTCGCCGCCTAAGCCATGATGGATATATAAACAGCTTTCCACACTAATCTGTTTTTCCATTTCACAGACCAAATAAGATTTTTTTTTCGCTGTCAACACAACCAGATTATCTGCCAATAAATTCCTTCTGGTCAGGATTTCTGCAGAAAATGAACGACTTTCTGTCAATTTCTCGTGCGATTTAGTGCCAATGGTTGAATATTCATGGGAAATGGGTAATACCTTTTTTTCCGCTGTGTTATCAAGATCTTCGCGAAATATTGCTAAAATTATTCGCAACTTATTGACAAGATTATTTCCCACGTCTTCAAAAAATTTTATCAGGTTAGGTTTAGAATTTCGCGACTTTATACAACATTTTGTGAATTATTGTTGTAAATGTCATCTTGGAATACTGTGAAATAAATTGTGAAGTGTTTTATACATATAATTATTTAGTTTTTTCTTCATTTTCTTTCATCTTTTCATTTTAATTTATTTCCTTCAAGATATTCTTTTTTTCTTATTTATTGGGCACTCCCCT